CCTGGAGGATTAAATGGAGTATGCTGTAATTTTTCTGGGTGTCGCATCACGTGTCCGAAATATTCTAATTTTCGTTTTTTAATTGTTTTGATGATTTCCCTTGGCTTTCAACTCATTTCTGATCTTGTCAACCCAGCTTATACGTAACAGCCGCCTGTAAATCCACATTTCAAATGCTTCTAGTAGTCTCTACTGGTGGCCTTCTGTCAGAGACCAACTCTCTGCTCCATAGAGCAGGATAGAAAAAATATAGCATCTGACAAGCCTGATTTTCAGTCTTAGGCTTATGTCGTGACTGCAGAAAAAGTTCAGGGTTAAAAAAAAGTTCAGGGTTAAAAGATACACGTTTTCCCAACATCTTTTCTAGCCAAGTAGGCATTTTCTTCCAATAACTCTTTGCTTTGGCACCCGTGCCCCAATCAAGGTAATAAGTACCTGACTTGTGTTTACATTTCCAACATCTGTCTGACACGTTTTTAAACATGTTTGCTAATCTTGCTGGTGGCAAGTGCCACGTATAAAACATTTAATGTAAATTTTCTTTATAAAACGTTGACATTGTCAATTTATAATTTCTTTCTCTTTTCTTGCTGGAGTCCTTGTGAACCCCTGCCGTTGTTAAGTTAGCAACACGGGCGTGAAGTGAATCCGGCTTTCCCATTGACTTTGCTTGTCAGACGGTCGCAAAAGGGGATCACGTGACCCCGGGACCCTGCAAACCGTCATAAATATGAGTCAGTTGTCACTCATCTGAATTTAAATCACATCACCCTGGGGATGCTGCAGCGGTTGTGGAAATGGGTGAAAAATCTTCATACATTTAGTGACCATTCATTAAATGGTCACTAAATGAACTGTCGTAAGTCGAGGATTATCTGTAACCTTTGCAGGTTGAATGGTCACTAAATGAACTGTCACTAAATGGTCACTAAATGAACTGTCGTAAGTCGAGGATTATCTGTAACCTTTGCAGGTTGAATGGTCACTAAATGGTCACTAAATGAACTGTCACTAAATGGTCACTAAATGAACTGTCGTAAGTTGAGGATTATCCGGGTTAGAACCTGGGACCCATAGGTCATCTAGCCCAACCCCTCCGCCTCTTCCTCTGAGCTGCAGTCGGGGTCTCTGCCAGCGAGGCTGCGAAAGCGGCACTTGCCGCGAAGAGCCACCAGGGGTCGCGAGTCTCCGCTTCTCGGCTGCCCGACCCCTGCTGCATTCACACGACGCGGGGAAAAAAAACACCAGATGCGTGACCCCGCTTCTGCACTGACCCAGGTTCCCCATTAAATTCACCCGACACGCAAACCAAAGGAAGGCGGAGGGGGTAAGAGAGTGTCTGCTCGACGCGTGTCCACTCTGGGGCATTCACACGACCAGAGTGGCCAGTGTTGGGGAACCAGGGTTTCCCCGGTTCCTCCAACTCTCTGGAGTCACAGAATACGCCTCGCCGGCCGCATTTTGACCCTCTGAAGGAATAAAGGAGGGAAACTCTTCCGGTAAGCGGAGACCCGCGTTCACCGCCAGCCGCGGCCTGCCTGCCGCCCCAACGGGCGGCCACGGAACGCTCCACGCATGCGCCAAGTGGTTGGCAGCTGACAGCGCAGGCGCAAAAGGGTATTGAGGCAATCCGCGTACACAGCCCCGTGCAGTTCTACTTCCCGGTCTTCCACAAGGCGCATGCGCAGAGGCTGGAAAAATGATTGGAACAGACGGGAACATAGGATGATACGTCGCTTGTATTTCTCCGCCCCTGACGAGTTCTTTGCGCATGTGCCAAGAAAAAACAAACAAACAAACCAGCCCAAATCATCTTGGCCAGCAGATGTCGCCCTTTTTCTGATTGAGTCAGCCCGGGCATCAAGCAAGATCTTTTTTTGCTAGTATAACTAATACAGAGTCTTCCAACGTGGCCCTTTCATGACTTGTGGACTTCAACTCCCAGAATTCCTCAGCCAGGCACCCGTGCCTGACTGAGGAATTCTGGGAGTTGAAGTCCACAAGTCATCAAAGGGCCACGTTTGAACACCCTTGAACTAATACATCTCCCCTACTATAGTAGCGGGAAATTAACAATATATACTGTATATATATATTTCCCTAGTTCAAAATCTGGTCTCTGGTCCGCAGTTGGAATTCAACAACCTCATAGGTGTGCAAAAATTGTTTCGGGATGGGATAGAAAACAGCAAAGCAGCAAATATGTATGCCAATTAGTGTACACTCAAAGTGACAATAAAGTTATTATTCTATTCTAATCGAGCAAATCTTTTTGTCTCTTTGTTAGTAAGCCAAAACAACCTGGGGTGCCTGGCTGAGGAATTCTGGGAGTTGAAGTCCACAAGTCATCAAAGGGCCAAGTTTGAAGACCCCCTGATACAATAGACTTTAAGAGGAGTGGACTTCAACTCCCAGAATTCCTCAGCCAGTGTGCCTGGTTGAGGAATTCTGGGAGTTGAAGTCCACAAGTCATCAAAGGGCCTAGTTGGAAGACCCCAGATATATAGTTTAAGAGGAGTGGACTTCAACTCCCAGAATTGCTTAGCCAGCATGCCTGGCTGAGGAATTCTGGGAGTTGAAGTCCACAAGTCATCAAAGGGCTAAGTTTGAAGACCCCTGCTATACAGGAAGGGGGGGGGAAACACATACAAGCTATTATCATTCCAGACATACATAACACCTATTTCTAAATTGAAGCCACGGTGGACCACATGCCTACATCCAGAACTGACCCATATCATTGCCTCTTGCCTGTACATTGAACGGGTTAATATTTCAATATTCTGCATAGGTAGTCCTCAAGTTATGACCATAATGGAATCCCAAATTAAGTGAGACACTTAAGTGAGTTTGGCCCCATTTTACGACCTTTCTTGCCACAGCTGTTAAGTGAATCACTGCAGCTGATAAGTTAGTAACCAGGTTGGTCAGTGAATCTGGCTTCCCCCCCCCCTTGACTTTGCTTGTCAAAAGGTCGCCAAAGGGATTGCGTGACACCTGAAACACTGCAACCGTCATAAATGTGAGTCAGTTGCCAAGCGTCTGAATTTTGATCAGGTGACCCTGGGTAAACTGCAAAGCTCGTGACTGAAAAACGGTCATAAGTCACAATTTCATTTCAATGTAGGCCGATTGGGGTACATTCAAAGTGACAATAAAGTTATATTATTATTATTATTATTGATCATCGCAGTCAGCCAGATGTTCAGACTGGATTTGGCATTTTTGTTTACCTATCGAGTCCGTCCCAAGGACCTGGGATCGGCAGATGTGGATGTTTGATGGTATTACATATATCGTCGCAGGATGGAGGCGGTTGCTGGTAAGGCCGCCTTTTGCAGTTGACTATTATTATTATTATTATTATTATTATTTAGATGTGAACCTCAGCCAACTGAACATTCAAATTGGCTTGCGCTGATGGTTGACACGGGTTGCTACCAGCATCCTAGGTGTCAACCAGGCACCTCCTTAAAATGTAAGATGTTCCGAGTAGCGCAGTTTTTTGTAACATTGCTGGAGTTATTGCAGGAAGCTGCAGTTTCTTGAAATATTTTGCAAAGTTTTGGGACATAGTTCCCAGTGCCCCAATGACAATGGGTACCACTGTTACACGTTTCATCCATAATCGCGCAGTTTCGATGGCCAGGTCGCGATATTTCGTCATTTTTTCCAGTTCTTTTTCTTCGACTTTGGCATCTCCCGGTACAGCGATATCAATCAGCTGTACGCTTCGGTTCTCTACAACCGCGATATCCGGCGTGTTGTGTTCCAAATGGCGATCTGTCTGTATCCGAAAGTCTCACAAGATCTTCACCCTCTCCTTCTCAACAACTTTTTCCATCCTATGTTCCCACGACTTTATAATGCCCAGTGGATTAATTTAGCAACTCGGTCATGTCTAGCTTTGTAATCAGTTTGCACAATTTTGCTGCATTCACATTATTAGATGCACTCACATTATTACCATTATCATTAGAATAGAATATCTTTTCATTGTGTAACTGCTCAAAATTAAGTAATTTTTCAGCGCCACTGTAACTTTGAAGCGTCACTAAGCAAAGTGTTGTAAGCCAAGGACTCATTTTATTCCATTTTAATTGTAAGCTGCCCAGAGTTGCTTTTCAGAATGAGATATAAATGGGATATAAATGATAGAAAAAAAAATAAAGTATCAATTCTAGTCCTCCGCTCAGTGGTTTGGGCCAATGGTTTTCGAACAGTAAACCTTTCCATTCTCTAAATCCATTTTCCGCGATGTTTCTACTGTAATTCTTTCTGGCTGGCTTTCCTCGTGGTCTCCCATCCACGCGCGGAGCCCCTGCTGTGAGCGGAGGCCTGGCAGCTGCGAGGCGGAAACTGCTGTCCGAGCCACGTGTCCGCGCTGCGGTCCGGGCCAAACCATTTCCCCGGGAGGGGGGGACAGCGACGAAGCCTTTCGCTCGAGACAAAGAGGCGAGCCGCGACGGGCCCGCGATTCTCCCCCCGTCGCGTGCTTGGTTTAGTCCCTTCTCGGATTGGCGGAGGTCTCGGTGGGAGCGGCAGCTGCTTCATCCAATCGGCGCCCGGCGTGGCAGAAGGCGGGCCCGCCGAAGGCCAATGGCTCGCCCGCGCAGGGCTGCCCACGTGGGAGACGCAGCTGGTCCGAAGACGGAGGGGGCGAGGGCGGCGCCTCCGCCAATCAGCGCTGCGAAAGAGGGGCCCTCCGGCTGACGTCACGCGCGGCTGAGACGCGAGGCCCCCCACTCTTCCTCCCCCCCCCAGCGAGGAAAGGCGTCGGACGGGTCTCCGGGCCAATGAAGTGAGGGCGGGCCGAGGGCGAGCGGAGGCGGGCTTTGCCGGCGAGCGGCCAATGGGCGTCGCGCTCGCAGGGGCGGCGCGGCGGGCGCCGAGACGGCAGCCAATGGGCAGGGCGGGAGGGGCGGGGCGCGGCGGGAGGCGGGGCCGGGGCCGAGGGAGCGCGAGCGGGCGAGTCGGGCTGAGGCGGCCCAGCGGGCGGGCGGGGAACGCGCAGCGGCGGAGGCCCCGCGGGGCGCACGGCAGGTAGGAGCGGGCGGGCGAGCGAGCGAGCGGCGGGGAAGGAGGGAGAGGGGCGCCGGGGACACGCGTCTGGGCCCCGCGTGGGGATTGGCGGCCCCGGGTAGGGGAGGGCGGCCGGCCCACCTCCCGCCTGGGCCCCTCCGCGCGCCCCGGGCCCGCCGACGGCCTTCCTCGCGGGCCCAGCGTCCAACGAGGAGGGGCCCCGCTGCCTCTGCTGGCCCTGCTCCGGCTCAGGGGTCTCTGCCTGCCGGAAGGGGGGCGGACTCCAAGTCCCAGAAGGCCCAGCCTGCTTTGAGATGGGTGGACAACTCCCAGAATCCCCCACTCAACCTGCTTTGAGATGGGTGGACTCCAGCTCCCAGAATCCCCACCCAACCTGCTTTGAGATGGTTGGACTCCAAAGCCCAGAATCCCCCACCCAACCTGCCTTAAGATGGGTGGACTCCAGCTCCCAGAATTCCCCATCAAGCCTGCTTGAGATGGTTGGACTCCAGCTCCCAGAATCCCCACCCAGCCTCCTTTGAGATGGGTGGACTCCAAGCCCTAGATTTCCCCATCCAGGCTGCTTTGAGATGGGTGGACTCCAACTCCCAGAATTCCCCATCCAGGCTGCTTTGAGATGGTTGGACTCCAACTCCCAGAATCCCCACCCAACCTGCTTTGAGATGGTTGGACTCCAAAGCCCAGAATCCCCCACCCAACCTGCTTTAAGATGGTTGGACTCCAACTCCCAGAATCCCCACTCAACCTGCTTTGAGATGAGTGGACTCCAACTCCCAGAATTCCCATCCAGCCTGCTTTGAGATGGTTGGACTCCAACTCCCAGAATCCCCCACTCAACCTGCTTTGAGATGGACTCCAACTCCCAGAATCCTCCACCCAACCTGCTTTAAGATGGTTGGACTCCAACTCCCAGAATCCCCACCCAACCTGCTTTGAGATAGTTGAACTCCAACTCCCAGAATCCCCACTCAACCTGCTTTGAGATGGGTGGACTCCAACTCCCAGAATCCCTTGTTAGCATCCTTTATGGTGGGTACAGGCCGTCTCCCAGAATTCCCTACTCATCTTGCTTTTGAGATGGCTGGGCCCCGAGTCCCAGAATTCCCCAGACAATATGTTTTAGATGTGGGTGGATTCCAGCTCCCAGAATTCCCTAGCCGGCTGGGTGTGGGGATTCTGGGAGCTGGAGTCCACCCACCTTAAAGCAGGCTGGGCTGGGGAATTCTGGGAGTCCCTGAGGTTGAGAAATGCAGTTCTGGGCACTTGCCTGCCTTTCCTTTCCTTCTTGGACAGAGGTGCCCAACCTTGGCCCCTTTATGACTTGTGGACTTCAACTCCCAGAATTCCTCAGCCAGGCACGCGTGCCTGGCTGAGGAATTCTGGGAGTTGAAGTCCACAAGTCATAAAGGGGCCAAGGTTGGGCACCTCTGCTCTGGGGGGGGGGAGTATAATGCATGTTGAGTAGACTCCTCTCCAACTTTTGCCTGGTTTTGGCTGGATTTGGGGGAAGAAAAAGCAGATGCAGAAAGTAAACAGGGATGTATGTTAGTTAATGGGCAACGGACCGTCGTTTTTGTACCAAATGAGGTGATGTAAGCCGGGCAGTCCCTGCGGAAAGCAGGACTGGCGGGAGTTGACTTTGACCTATCTTGGTTTGGCTGGCCTGTTTTGTAGCATTTGGGGCAACTTTCCTGCCAAGAGCTGCTTGTGGGGCTCTCCTGAGCGGTGCTCCTGTCTGGCTTGCATCTGAAGCCAGAGGTTGGGCCTGGGTTGCAAAGACTGGCTCTACAAGCCAGATGTTCTGGAGGTTTCTGAAAGATAAAGAGTCCATTATATAGGTTGGGAAGGGCAAAAGGTTAAGTCTTTTGGTCGTTGGCAGCTGGCTGGAGTTGCTGTATTTCGTACTTTGAGGGAAGAATGCTACTCCCTCCTAGCACTGATGATGTTACTTAGTTGGGTCATGAAACGTCTGTAAGGAAACCACCCAGCTCAGAGAGCACCAAGGACCCCACAGTCGTCGTGGTCATCGTCTTCCTCTTCCTCCTCCTCCTCCTCCTCCTCCTCTTCTTCTTCTTCTTCTCAAACCCCATTTCCTTCTAGCACTGATGATGTTACCTAGGTGGGTAATTAAATGTCTGCAAGAAAACCACCCAGCTCAGAGAGCACCAAGGACACCACAGTTGCCGTCTTCCTCCTCTTCCTTCTCCTCCTCCTCCTTCTCCACCACTACCATCACCACCACCACCAGGTTTAGAGAGCACCCAGGACCCCACAGTCTTCCTCCTCCTCCTCCTCCTCCCTGCAAACCCCATTCCCTTCTAGCACTGATACTGTTACCTAGTTGGGTCATGAAATGTCTGTAGGAAACAACCACACTCAGAGAATACCAAGGACCCCACAGTCTTCTTCCTCCTCCTCCTCCTCCTCCTCCTCCTCCTCCTC